TCAACTCAGACAGGTCTGTGTGCTGGGCCGTGAGCTCATGGATCCCCAGAGCCATCCTGCCAGGTGCCAGAGCAAGAGACTGAGGCCTCAGGAGTTGGAACGAGTGACCCAGAGAGCCAGCGAGAGGCAGGCTTGGCTCCGGCTGACATGAGGGCCGGGCTACTGGCTTGCTATATTGATTTCCATGCAGTCAGCTTTTTTCTTACCCTAGAGAGGCAGGTGGCGGGTGGACTTTGGAACCATTCAGAACAGCTGACCAGTCGTCCCTCTGCCTGTCTCCTGTAGGCTGATATGGGAAGTCTGGATGCCTTTTGTCCGAAATATCGTCAATCAGTGGCAGCCACGGAACTGCGACCCGATGGTGGACTTTCTGGACAGCTGGGTCCACATCATTCCCGTGTGGATCTCAGACAACATCCTGGACCAGCTCATCTTCCCCAAGCTGCAGAAGGAGGTGGGGCAAGCTGGGGAAAGGGGTGTCCTGGCAACCACGGGGGCTTGTAGAGCAGCTCTGGGGGACATTCACACACCCGGAACCATAGCATTTGTCAGTGGAGCAGTGATTGCCCTGTGCTATTAAGCCTTTTTTCAGCACTTTTTTGCAAACTCTCCACAGAACTACATCATTTTCATAGTTTCTTTAATGAACTTTGAATGGTGCCATTTCTGACATTCTGTACGTACAATGTGTGGGTGTATTATTTGTGGGTCACTGTCTTTATGTTTTGGGGAAATTGTTGTATAAAATGTCTGCAAAGTGGCCTCTTCTTTTCCCTCCATGAGGTGGTGAGGCGGTCCTAACGCGCGTGCACGCGTGCAGAGGACCCCCACACGCGTGCGGAGGACCCCCACACACGCACGTGCGGAGGACCCCCACACACACGTGCGGAGGACCCCCACGCGCGTGTGGAGGATTGTGGGCCTCAGCCAGAAGAGCACGTGGCTGCCTCCCCCAAAGACCGTGCACATCATGCACTTCCCTGCGCTGGCGGCCCACGTGGGGCTGACACCCCTTCGCCCCATTCCCTGCACAGGTGGAAAACTGGAACCCGCTGACGGACACCGTCCCCATCCACTCGTGGACCCACCCGTGGCTGCCACTCATGCAGGCGCGCCTGGAGCCGCTCTACTCCCCCATCCGCAGCAAGCTGTCTAGCGCCCTGCAGAAGTGGCACCCCAGCGACTCCTCGGCCAAGCTCATCTTGCAGCCTTGGAAGGATGTCTTCACCCCTGGCTCCTGGGAGGCATTCATGGTCAAGAACATCGTGCCCAAGCTGGGTAAGCAAAGGGAGAAATGCATCCCAAGCCCCGCAGCTTGGGTGCCGTGGTTTCGGTGGCCAGCTACCTGACCTCTGAGGCAGACCTTTGAGTTCTGTGAAGCAGCTTCATGCAAAGGAATTTTCACTGTGTAGAAGGTGCTGTTTCACGCACAGACAGTAGGACTAGGGGTCTCCAGTGACAGCGTCAGACTCAGCGTGCCTCTTGGCTTTGTCCAGACTGGTCTGATTTTGGCTTCTGATAATAGAATATCCAGTGGTGTTCTCAAAGTGTATATATTCCATATATTCCATTATGTATATAATAAATACACATTCCTTTCTTCTTTTTTTAAAAAAGGGGGTATTATTTCTGGGTTAGAAAAAATCTGATTTTTAAGAATTGGTCTATCAGGAGCTTAAAGTTGACCATGAAGAGCTCAGAAGCTGAGATGGCAACTGAGCCTTAGATGGGGCCTCTCTTGCAGGGATGTGTCTTGGGGAGCTCGTCATTAATCCCCACCAGCAGCACATGGATGCCTTCTACTGGGTGATGGACTGGGAGGGGATGATCTCCGTCTCCAGCCTGGTGGGCCTTCTGGAGAAGCACTTCTTCCCCAAGTGGCTTCAGGTGCGTTAGGTGGGGGGGGGCTGGGGCGGGAGACGGCACTGACTTTCCTGCCCAGGCCTGACTGCGGGTGCTTAGTCCCTGGATAGCTGTCAGAGAGAGTGCTATGGCTACAGAGAGAATAAACACGCTTCAGGGTAGGAGTGGTTACTAACAAGTGGCCACCATTTACTGAACAGTTGCTCACACCATGCACTCTTATGGGATTTATTTGTGTTTATCTCATTGATGCCTCACAGTGGCCCTCTGGGGTCGAGGCTGTAGTATCCCCAGTGTGTGGATGTGAAGACTGAGGCTCAGAGAGTTTAAGTGCAAGGTCACAGAGCTGCCAAGCTGACTCCAGAACCCATCTTTTCAGTGCCAGACTTAAGGAACTGTAAGCCCCTGTAAGTAAAGTCAGCAGCTTGTAGGACCAGGATCAAGACAAAGGGTCCCTTTGGGAATTGTGCTGTGGACACAAATGTTTCTTGTATCTTTTGGGGCAGGTGCTCTGCTCCTGGCTCAGTAACAGCCCCAATTATGAGGAGATCACCAAGTGGTACCTGGGCTGGAAGTCCATGTTCTCAGACCAAGTGCTGGCCCATCCATCTGTCAAGGACAAATTTAACGAAGCACTTGACATCATGAACAGGGCCGTGTCCTCCAATGTCGGTGAGTGGGGGGCCCGTTTCTGCAGGTCCTGGCACTGCGTTCCGTGTTTCTGAATGTGTAAATGAAATAGAATCTGGGCTTGCAGACACCTGTAGGCGACTTCACTCTGGTGAAGGCCAGACACGCCAACTTGACACTCCCACTCTCCCCGCCGATACAGTCACAGGGTTAGCTAATGCCCGCTGTCAGGACCTCCTGTTATTGGGAGGGGCGGTTTGCCCTGAATGCAGCTGACTTAGGTCTGGATTTAACTATGTTGGTCTCTCTCCAGAGCCCACCATCGCCCCACTGTGCCCTTTGTCCTCGCAGGGCCCACACAGCACACAGCAGTGTCCAGTGTGCTGCTGGACCACAACAGCCTGGAGTTCCTGTCTAAACCCTAACACTGGCCCCATTTCTTTACCTTTACAACAGTTCTGATGCCTCCATCACAGGTCACAAGTGGCGTTAAGAGAATTAAGGTTTGTAACACACTCCGCACGTAGCACTCAGAAGCTGGTATCAGGTGTTGGTGTCTGAAGTGGGCAGTCTGCTGTTCCTTTGTGGATCTATGTCTGCAGCTGTGTTGTTCTAGGTGGGCCCTTCAGCCTAGAGCTTAAGTAAACAAGCATGGGCTTGTGCTTTTCCACAGGAGCCTTTGTAGCCCATTCCGTTGTACAGCTGACTTCTGAGGCCACAGGCCCACGTTGCTAAGTAGGTCATTCACAGCATTTGAAATGTAGTCATGTAATCCAACTCAGTTTCACAGATAAGCTCAGTGAGGCCAAGAGCTTGTTCAGGGTCACACAGTGAAGGGGGCAGTTGGGACTGGAATCTGTATTTCCTGAGTTTGTCTCTCTACTCAAGCTATCCCATGAAAACAACTCTTAAGTCATAAATTACAGATTTATATACTGTGTTTAATGAGACCGATAGACTTCTGTGCTTCACTCTACTTCCCTGAGTCCTACCTCCACTTCACATTGTCTGGATACTTCCGTAGCCAGCCCAGGCCCTGTGATCCCAGAACAGTCCCCTGCCCATCAGTTAGCACTTGACATCTGTGGTCCTGGGTTACCCTTTACATGTGCGTGCTTTGGCTCCCCAAGTACACTTCCCAGTCCTCCAGGGCAGGGGCGTGTACAAAGTTCAATGTAACTATTATAGGCCATGTGTTGTTGAAATTCTAAAAGCTTTGGCAGCATGCAGTGCAAACCCTACCAGGCACCACAGGAACAAAACAGTGCTGATCGCCTGTCAAGCTTTCCAGCTCAAAAATGGTAAATTCCTTGTAGATAAGTCACGATGACTCCTTGGTAACGCCTCTGGTTGCTAGGTAGTCTCCACCACCGTCTGAACTTCCCTCAGAGGCACGTGGTCGCCTTGTTTCACTGCTTTGTGACTCTGAGGTACAGCTGCCTGCCCTTTACACTAGTAGGTTTTACAAAGATGACACCTCTGGCACCCCTGACTTGGGCCTAGTCACGTCTCCATTTATATACATCTTGGGAACAACTCGCTTCCTTCCCCTCTGTACCTCAGGTGCCTACATGCAGCCCGGGGCACGGGAGAACATCGCCTACCTCACCCACACGGAGCGGAGGAAGGACTTCCAGTACGAGGCCATGCAGGAGCGGCGGGAGGCCGAGCACATGGCCCAGAGGGGCATCGGTGTGGCTGCCAGCTCGGTGCCCATGAACTTCAAGGACCTCATCCAGACCAAGGCTGAGGAGCACAACATCGTCTTCATGCCCGTCATTGGGAAGCGGCATGAGGGGAAGCAGCTGTACACCTTCGGCCGCATCGTGATCTACATCGACCGGGGCGTGGTGTTCGTCCAGGGGGAGAAGACCTGGGTGCCCACCTCCCTGCAGAGTCTGATTGACATGGCCAAGTAGACCACTGCAGGGCCGGGCAGGCCTGAGACAGACCTCACAGGGCCTTTACTCGTCTCCTGTGAATAAAAGTGCTTTATGTGATCTTCCAAAGGCTGGCATCCATCTATTGAGGAGATACTCCGTCAGGCAGGGCCACCCAGGAAGGATGGACAGCACGATCACGCTGCTTTACTTCTTATTGCCAAAAGAAATGCATAATCTTTATGCCAAGGCCTGACATGCTTCTCACCCTCGAAGCAACACAGCCAAGTGTGTTTTTCTGTTATCTCTGAAATTAAGGAGCTCTGGTGGCACAGTGGTTAAAGCATTGGGCTGCTAAGCAAAAGATTGGTGGTTCGAACCTATGAGTTGCTCTGAAGAAGAAAAATGTGGCAGTCTGCTTCCATAAAGATTTACAGCCTTGGAAGCTCTATGGGTCATTTCTACGCTGTCCTATAGGGGCACATGAATCGGAATTGACTTGATGGTAGTGGGTTTTATCTCTGAAATTTGGCCCACTGCAGTTCTCACAGTGCTCCTCAACCCACCCACAACCTTCCCTTTGGTCTCTGGTGACAGATTCTTCTACCTCAGCCAACACCCAATACACTATGAGTTCAGGTCAGTAGATGAAGGGTCTTTTGTCTTCTTCCTGATTATTTCAAGGTCCTCACAGTCCTGATAATCTGGTTCTTCCTGGAACGCCCATGTGTCTGCAGAGAGTAGCCTGAGCTTTAGTGCAGGGAACCAGTGGATGGAGGTATCGTTAAATATGTCCGTGTACCGTGAACTCGGAGGGAACTCAGACTCCTCCAGGCCTCCGAGGACCTGTGCAGAGAATGTCAAATGTGAAAAGTGAATGCCTGGTAACCACAGTCATCCCTGCCCCAGTGACCACCACTTCCACGACCCCTGCTCCACTGACCCTCACTTCCTGGTGACCCCTGCTCCCTGGTCCCTACCCCCACCCCGGGTTATATTTCCATTTTAGTTTTCACCTCCATGTTCATTTTTAAAAGACACAAACCAAAAAACCAAATTCACTGCTGTCAAGTCGGATCCGACTCACAGCGACCCCTCCTTGGGTTTCTGAGACAGTATCACTACAGAAGTAGATTGCCCAACCTTCCTTCTGAGGAGTGGCTGGTGGGTTTGAACTGCCAGGCTTCTGGTTAGTAGTCAAGTGCCTTAGGCACAAGGAATAGGGTATTTTGACTTCAGTGCTCTTGTGTAAGGGCTCAGAAGCTCCAAAGCAATGGCCATGTTTGGACTGTGATACCAACAATACAGGAAACTAGAACAAAATGGAGCTGCGCTAAAAGATCCTAGCTTTCTGGAAGGATGAAGACAAAGCTCATGGCCAGTATGGTGACATCACTGTCTTCAGCTAGCCCCTCCTCCATGTGTGAAGGTAGAACTCTTCCCGGGGAGAGAGATGCCGTGACTGCACACCTGTTCCCACCCACCCCTCCATACAGACTGATACCTTTGCAATGTAGGGATAATTTTTCTGCAGAGTCCTTGTCAATAACCTAGACATAAAAAGAAACCAGTTAGGAGGTATGAGGGTGGTTTTACTCAAATTAATTGACCTGGACCAGCTGATGGAAAAATTCAGAAAAATGTCTGGGGCATGGAACAGGTTAAATACCTAGTAGAAAACATGAACACTCCAGTAACCACATGCATTTCATGTGTTCAAAGAGAAAGGCCAGAGCAGACACGGAAGCATCGGGCAACCATGACCACGTGTAGCTGTTGGCAGAGAGACCAAAGGGCTTCCCCTGTTTCTGAAAATCACTGTGAACTGAAGACAAGGGGGCAGTTACTGACAGAAGGACCACTTCCTTCCTATCTCGACCCAAGGTTCTGGCCTCTCCTTTATCCAGTTCCCTGTGAAAAAGCATTTCCAAGTGCAGAACAGTAATGGCAGCATTTTGTGCAGTGGGTCATGCCTGAGGTATAGGGGCTCTACCGTGGGCTCGACCAGCCCAGCTGTCACAGGCTCACCTTTCCTCAAGCCCTCGGAAACTGTTGCCGATGATGACCATCTTGGACAGGGCGTCAGCTGACCAGTTACTCCACAAGAGGTTGTTGTATAGAGCTGTCCCACAGTGCAGCATGTAGAAGATGGTGGGCTCACCACCAACGCTCCGCTTTCCCTCCTGAGGACAACAGGAGCACATGGCAACATTCTGACACTGCTTACAGCAAGGGGAGGTAGAGGTCAGGACATGGATGAATAATGGGCTGAAGGGTCAAAGGGGGAAAAAATACCTAAGTTCCACGGTGGCAGTGTCCAAGGAGCTCGGGTGGTACAGTGGTTAAGGCATTGTGCTGCCAACCAAAAGCCTGGTGGTCGGAACCCACCAGCTGCTCTGTGGAAGGAAGATGAGGCTGTCTGCTTCTGTCTGGACAGCCTTGGAAACCCAATAGGGATCGCTACGAGTTAGAATCAACATGATGCAGCGAGTGTGGTTTTTTTGAGTGAATAGTGTGTATGAAATCTGTAAAATGTTACGAGATTTAAAAAAAAAACCAAAAACATGATGTCTTTCTGTAACAGCACAAAGCCCTGGACTAAGCAGCGGGCTTCCTGGGGTCCCTGTCAGCAAGGGCAGGGGTGGCAGCAAGAGTTCCCATCCCCCATGTTCTGTGCTCAGCAGTCCTCCTTGTGGTCTGTGCCCCTGTCTGCAGATACCCTTCATAACTGAGTGCTCTCCAAATGTCCCCCGGTGGAGACACAGTCACCTCTGGGTGAGAGCCATTGTTCTACAGCCAAACCCTTGGCAGGGAACAAAGCCCTGTGCTGTCTGGCTCCTCGGTGGCTGCTCCTCTCCACTCTGCCTGCAGCTTCCCTGCCCACCTGGCATTGCTCTCCTGACCACTTGTTCTGCATCGTGGGTCGACGTGATGGGCTGCCTGCAGTCCTGGTCCTGACCATCTGGCCATTTCCTGGATGATGTTGTTGTTAGGTGCCACTGACTCAGCGACCCTATTTACAGAAGATGAAACACTGCCCAGTCGGGCACCATCCTCACAACTGTTGCTGTGTTTGAGCCCACTGTGGCAGCCACTGTGCTCATCCATCCTGTTGAGGGTCTTTTTGCTGACCCTCTACCAACCACGATGTCCTTTTCCAGAGACTAGCCCCTCCTGATAACATGTCCCAAGTTTGGGACACGAAGTCTTCTAAGGCACATTCTGGCTGTACTTCTTTCGAGACAGATTTGTTTTTCTGGCAGTCCACGGAATAGTCAATATTCTTTGCCAAGACTGTAATTAAAAGGCGGCAGTTCTTCGTTGACTTTCCTTATTCATTATTCAGCTTTCACATGCATATGAGGCAACTGAAAATACCATGGCTTGGGTCAAGCGAACCTTAGTCTTCAAAGCGACATCTTTGCTTTTTAACACTTTAAAGAGATCTTTTGTGCTCTGAAAGGGACCACAATAAGAGGTCCTGGATAGAGGAAGGGGGGAAATATGGAACAAAACTCAAAATCCTAAAAACACTAGGCCTACTGGATTGATGAAGATTGGTGGAGTGCCCCCAAGACTACAACTCTCAGACACTCTTCAAGCAAGGGACTGAACTGAACCCCTGTGACTCGACTGATAGCCAAAGGATAGGCCTATAAGGTGAACAGCGATGTCAGGAGGGGATGCGCTCATTAGAACAGTCAAGCATATGAGATCAAGAGGACAGCATTTTCCCAGGGGTAGAGCTAGGGAGCTCTGGTAGCATAGTGGCTAAGGCACTTGACTGCTAACCAGAAGGCTGGTGGTTCAAACCCACCAGCCACTCCTCGGAAGGAAGATGGGGCAATCTACTTCCGTAGTGATACTGCCTCGGAAACCCAAGGAGGGGTCGCTATGAGTTGGGTCCGACTTGATGGCACACAACAACAACAACAACAGAGCTAGGGAGGTGGGATGGGACTGAAAGGAAGAATGAAGAGAAGAAGCAGGTGCAGGGAGGAAGTGGGGAGAATGCTGTTACAGTGTGGGGCTTGTAGTAAATGTCACAAAATAGAGTATGCATGGATTGCTGAATGGGAAACCAGTTTGCTCTATAAACTTTCACCCAGATCACAATAAAAAATAAAAATAGAGGTCTTTTGTAGCAGATTTGCCCAATGTAATATACATCATTTTCATTTCTTGACTGCTGCTTCCATGGGTGTTGACTGGATCCAAGTAAAATAAAATCTTCATTATTTTCTACTTTGATCATGTTGCTTTTTGGTCCAGTTGTGAGGATTTTAGTTTTCTGTATATTGAGGTGTAATCTATACTGAATTCTCTAGTCTTTGACCTTCATTGGGAAGTCCTTCAAGTCCTCTTCACTTTCAACAAGCTAGGTTGTCTCATCTACCTATCTCGGGTTGTTAATGGTTCTCCCTCCAACCCTAATGCCCCCTCCTTCAATAATCTAACTTCAGAATATTTGCTCAGCATACAAATTGGGTAAGTATGGTGAAAGGATACAATCTCAAGGCACAACTTTCCTGATTTTAAACCATGCAGTAGCCCCTTGTTCTGTCTGAAGGAGCATTTCTTGATCTATGTACAGGATCCTCATGAGCACAATTAAGTGTTCCAGAATTCCCATTCTTCACAGTGTTACCCATAATCTGTTATGATCCCACACAGTCATATGTCTTTGCATAGTCAATATAACACAGGTAAACGTTTTTCTGGTATCCTTGCTTTCAGCCAAGATCCATGACATCAGCAGTGATATCCACTGTTTCATGTCCTCTTCTGAATTCAGCTTGAAATTCTTGCAATTCCCTGTTGATGTACTACTTCACTATTTTTAATTATCTTCGGCAAAACTTTTGTATGATCTTATTCAATTTCCACATTCTCTTGCACCATCTTTCTTTGGAATGGGCACAGATATGCGTATCTTCCAGTCAACTGGCCACATAGCTATTTTCAAATTTCTCGGCATAGAGGAGCAAGTGCTTCCAGCACCACGTGTCTGTTGAAACATCTCAATTAGTATTCCGTCAACTCCTGGAGCCTTACTTTTGCCAACACCTTCAGTGCAGCTTGGACTTCTTCAGAACCATCAGTGCTTGAACATATGCTACCTCCTGACATGCTTGAATGTCAACCAATTCTTGGTGCAGTGACTATGTATTCCTTTGTTCTGGTCACCTAGTGCCGCTCTGACAAGAATATACCACAAATGGGATGGCCTTAACAAACAGGAATTTATTCTCTTACAGTTTGGAGGCTTTAAGTATAAGTGCAAAGTGCCAGGCTCTAGGGGCTGGGTGAAAGCTCCTCAACCTTGGGGTCCAGTTCTGCTTCCTGCTCCCGGCCCACTGAAGCTGGAGGCTTTTCTTCACTCAGCTGCTGGCTGCTGAGGCTGACAAGCCCAAGGTTGACAAGTAAAAAGGCACAGAACCAACGTTGCCAAACCACACAACAGGCTATTAATTTAAGTCCATTGTACATCCCAAGGTCAGCAGAGCATGGCAGGCTGCTGAACAATGACACAGCTACATTCAGGGTCCAAGCGTGCCATAAGCTAGAGACCATTCCCCAAGGCTTCTCCTTATATACAGGAAGCAGACCACATCCCTAGTGCAGCTACTCAGCTGCTCCCAGTAGATTCCACCATGGAGTTGATTGCCAGTCTCATCATGGGGAATACTACATCCAGCTGCCCAGCCACTCAACCAGGCCCAGCCAAGCTGACACACAAACTGAACGACCACATCCTTCCATCTTCCTTTGATGCTTCCTGGATTGTTCAATATCTTGCCCACAGAATTCTTCTAAATTGTAACTTGAGATTTCAATTTTTTCTTCAGTTCTTTCTTGAGAAATTCCAAGCATATTCTTCCCTTTTGATTTTCTAACTCTAGATCTTTACACATTTTATTATAATACTTTGTCTTCTCGAGCCACCCTTTCAAATCTTCTGTTCAATTCTTTTACTTCATCATTTCTTCCATTTGCTTTAGCTACTCACATTTAACTCCTGGTAGACCTGCAAAACCCAGCTGGACTCCAGCCAACCTTCTGTGGCCCTTCCCCTGGACTGCCTCCATTCCTTTTATATGATTTTGTGACATGGTTCTACCTCACTGTCCCATTCAACATTTACTGGATTATAGGGCATGTGCCCTCATGGGCCCATGGGCTCCCTGAAGCCAGGCACCAGCTTCATGTATCTTGGTCCCCTCAAGCTCCCGGCCTAGCACAGAGCAGGCACCTGAAAAAAGACCAGGGGTTGAATGATGGTTTTTTAGGACCGTGCCAACATTAGGGAATGATTCTTCTCTGAGCTGTGTGTAACTTTCTTGTTTCATAAGCAGTAAGATAGCAGTTTTCGGATACACAGAGGAAATGGCGCTCATTCCATAATCCTCAAGCCAGTGCAAAGCTTATCAGAAGTATGTGCCTTCAGCTGTGGAGAGCATTTCTTGTTTTCACGAGGTCTGCAAAAATTTGAACCCCAGTTTTCTAGGGGGAGGGGATTGTGGGAATGAGCAGAGGATTTATTCACAACTCCAGGTGCTATGGGTGTGACTAGACTACTGCTTCAAAGTGGGGAGATGATATTTGACCTCTGATTACCTCCCCTGCTCAGGGGAGAACCCGACCAGAAAGACCTCATTGGAGGGACCAAGACTCCGTGCCGTCTTTATTTTTAAATTTGATCATGGTAAGATACGTACGTCACGTGAGATTTGGTATTTTAACCATGTTTTAATATACACTGTGAACCCCCCCCCCCGATCTATTTCTAACATCGTTTCATCATCCAGACAGAACCTCTGTGACCATGAAATAGTGTCTTTCCATTCCTCCCTCCCCCCAGGCCCGAGGAACCATGCATCTACTTTCCGTCTTTATGAATCGGCCTATTCTAAACATTTCACGTAAAGGGGATCATACAATACGTGTCCTTTTGTGTCTGCCTTATTTCAGTGCCTCTGCTGCTTGCGAAGCTCATCCGCATCACAGCATGTGTCAGAACTTCATCTCTCTTTCTGGCTGAGTGATACTCCACCGTATGGCTAGACACGTTCTTCTAAGCCACTCAGCCTGTTGATGGGCATTTGGGTTGTTTCTACCTGTCGGCCACTGTGAACAACACTGCACCAAACCCTGTTGTCCCAGAATCTGTGCTCCTGTTTTCAATTCTTCTGTGTGTGTATACACCAAGGAGTGGTCCCTTTATATAACAGCAAGAGCAAATAATAACTTAGTGTGATTTCTGAAGCAACGTTTCTCACAAGAGTTTTGCAAATCTCCATGTTCTATTTCATGTCGTTTGTAGGTGGGTTTTTTTTCTGACAAAGGCACAGCATAAGGCAAAATGTGGATCCTGACTGATCACCTATGACAGGCACTGGGAAAGCAAGCAAGCACTGGAAAGAAATGACCACCATCTAAATAATAACTGGGGTCAAGGGACAGTCTGGGGTCAGTTTGTTGATTTGCGCAGCCCTCCCTCACCACTCACCTCGTTCTCACTGAGCACAGTCACCCCCAGGGCATTAAGAACTTCGATTTCAAGTTGGCTAAACAGAGGGTCATACATGCAGCAGTGACTTCTGGGAATCTGAGGGAGAAAGGAAGAGTGATGGTGGATTTTGGTCCAAACCTGTGCGTGCCCACCACGTGCAAGGCACCGGGAAGAGAAGATGACGATGAGTGCAGAAGCTTACCTGGCACTTTTCCAGGAAGTGCAGCAAAAAGGTTAGCTGGTTTCTCGCGATGACGCAGGTGGCAAAGTTCCCAATGCCATAACACACACACTTCAAGCGCCGGGCTCCCGCGACCAGGGTCTTCCCTGGGACGCAGTCGCAGGCCACGGCTGTCTCATCTGCTGGTGAGTCCAGATCCAGGTTTCCCAGGGCTGTGGAAAGAGTCCCCTCAAGGGCCTTCACTTGTTCGCTGTGTTTCCTAAGACACCTCATGATGGTTTCTGAAAGAGCCGGTCCCCGAGTGCACTCAGAGGGCGTGCCCGGACCCTGTGAGCGCTCCCCAACACACAGCCACGGGCCTAGAGAGCAGGACACGGGTGGCTCCAGCAACTCAGCGAGGAGAGTGACCCGTCTCACTGCTGAGCAGGTCGGGATGCCAGCCACGGCCACCAAAACCTGAAAGGCAACTCTGGCCTCACGATCCCAGGCCCTACAACCTAAGGTAATTTTCTGGACAGGAAATAGCTTTCATCCTTGGGCACAGTTTCCATTATGTGCAGGCTGTGTTCTGAACGACCTACTTTAAAAAAATAAATAAATAACAAGGGATGGAGGAGCACGGTTCTGAAATCACACTGTAATAGGTGGGAATAGGAATACTTAATGCATAACTAGTCCAAAGAAGAAACAGTAGGCTGGAGCCTTCAAGGGCCTGTTAGAATATATATGCCCCATCTGCATTTTCTCACACACAGAAGATTCTCTCACCCCTCCTTGTATTTTGGATTAGTACATCAGTACTAAAGGAGCTCTGGAGGTGAGCGTGAGGCATTCGCCTCCTAAGCAAAAGCTTGGTGGTTTAACCCACCAGCTGCTCTGCAGAAGAAAGATGGGGCAGTCTGCTTCTGTAAAGATTTATAGCCTTGGAAACCCAACGGAGGTCACTGTGGATATATTTATAGCACACACAGACACATAAGAAGAAATACTCCCTGTCACACCTATTCATGGGTGTAGTCCCATTCACCTTCCCTCCCCTGTTCAGTCTGCATGTCTACGTATCCACTCGGACGTAGGTTGTTGTTATTGCTTTATGGCGGGATTGTGCATGGACTAGTATTTACCTCTGTTCCCTTGAACTCTTGTCCTCCTCCCAGTGTCATCCTTTGTGTGGATCATTTTGTGCTGACCCCTCCCCCTTATTGCCCTTGCCTTCACCCAAGTTAATACACGTCTACTTTCTAGTTAGTGATTTACCCTCTCTCCCCCTCCTACCCTGCTAACCTTCAAAGAATGTTTCTTTCTGTATATAAACCTTTTCTTGACTTTCTATAGTAGGGGCCTCATACAGTACTTGTCCTTCTGTGATTGACTAATTCACTCAGTTTAATATCCTCTAGGTTCTCCCATGTTGAGGTGTTTCACAGATTCATCATTGCTCTTTAACACAGCAATACTCCACTGTGTGTGGGTACCATAGTTGGTTACCCACTCATCCACTGATGGGCATTTAGGTTGTCTCCATCCGTTTGCTACCATGAATGATGCTGCAATGAACATGGGTGTGCATCTATCTGTTCGTGTCACAGCTCTTATTTCTCTAGGATATGCACCTAGTATTGGGAATGCTGAAACTTATAGTATGTCTCATTTTTTAAGGACACACCATACTATTTTCCACAGTGGTTGTACCATTTTACAGTCCCATCAGCAGTATGAGGGTTCCGGTCTCTGTCTACCCACGCCAGCTTTTGTTGTGTTCTGACCTGTCACTGTTGTTTTGATTTGCATCTCTCTAATAGTAAAAAGGACCTTTGGCAGCACAGTGCCTAAGGCATTTTGACTGCTAACCAGAAGGTTGGCAGTTCAAACCCACCAGCCACTCCACAGAAGGAAGACTGGACAATCTACTCCCATAAAGATTTACCGCCTCAGAAACCCAAAGGGGGTCGCTATGAGTTGGAATTGACTTGATGGCACTGAGTTTAATGGCTAATGAAGGTGATCTGGTGATGTAGTGGCTAAAGCATTCGACTGCTAATCAAAAGGCTGGCAGTTCAAACCCTCCATCTGCTCCGTGAGATAAAGGTGAAGCAGTGTACTTCTGTAAAGATTTATAGCTTTGGAAACCCTACGGGACAGTTCTAATCTGTCTTATACAGTGGCTATTAGTTGAAATCTACTCGATGGCAATGGGTTTGGTTTTGGTTTAATGGCTAATGATTGTGAGCATTTCTTCATGTATTTGTTGGCCGCCTGAGTGTCTTCTTTGGTGAAGTATCTGTTCATGTTCTCTGTCCCTTTTGTAACTTGACTATATTTTTATTGTTGAGGCATTGAAGTCTTCTATATTTCTTTGATTTTTCTCCTTCTTTCCCTTTAATTATACTTCAGAACAGTTATTGATACAGGTTCACAAATACTACTTGCCACAACATTGTAGTTAAAACACTAGAAAACGTAAAATCAGTGACTGTGAAATCATTGGCAGCAATGAAGACAACAGCACTTGCAGTGTGTGCAGAAGAAACCCATGACTCGAAGCCTCACTGTAACTGGGTGACAGTGACAGCTCTGAGCAGCGTGCACTAGAAGGTTCAAAAGTCAATTAGCACGAAGCGTTAGCCTTTCTAAGTACACTGACACATACAAGCCGGCCTTAGGAAAATGGATTTTTGTTGTTATAACTACTGGGTCGTTTTAGGAGAATTAATAAATTTTTCTGCTGAAACACTGCACAAAAACTTTACAGTCATTTTGGCGTCAGCCCCTCTGTTAGTGTCGCCCAGTGCATTCCACACACCCCTGGACCCCTTAGTGACAGCACTGCATTCCAACAATAAGATACCAAATCTCACCGACCAAATTAGCAAAGACATTTTAAAACAAGCCTAGGGGAAGTAGTCTGAAAAACTGACGCATTTAGTCCATGCTGGCAGGTGAATACTCTGGCAAAAGTTTTTCAGAAAACAACTTGGCAATGGCTTGATAGCCAATGACCACCTTGATAGTTGGTCACTGCCTTTTATTTACTATTCCACTTCTGGTAATACATGCTAAGAAAATCATCCTAAATTTGAGAAAAGCTTTATGCACAAAGATAGTCACTGGAAGGTTATACATCATGTCGTTAAGTGCTGTCGAGTCAGCTCCGACTCCTAGCGACCCCGTGTGCAACAGAACGAAACACCGCCTGGTCCTGTGCCAGCCTCACAGTCCTTGCTACACCTGAGCCCATGGTTGCAGACACTGTGTCAATCCATCTCATTGAGGGCCTTTCCCTCACTATGATATGTATCACAGTAACTAAGAAACAAATAAGTAAAACCAGGAAACCAAAGAAACGGCCTTTAAATAAAAATTATAACTGCGGCATGTTCACACCATGCATTATGTTGCCACCTGTTATGTTTAGAAAGAGATTACAACTGCAGGGAGGGAAAGTCTACATTATCATGTCAAGGAGAAAGATCAAGATAAATAAAAATTACAACAATAACAATGGTTAACGTTTATTGTCTCCTAAGCCACAGGCAAGAACTGTTGCAGGCACTTAACTGCCCCATTTAATTCTCAAAACTACACTAGGAGATATGTATGTTGTCATCCCCATTTCACAAATAAAGAAACTGAGGGTCAGAGTTACTTAAGTGCCAAAAGGCATACAGCCATGAGAGGGAAGTAAGAATTAGAATCAAGCATGCACAGTGCTGTGTGAAGGAAACTGTCCCCGAATGACGACTGGAGTTCCTTCTTTGCCCACAGGCAGGCCGTCCCTCCTCCCACTCTCACCACCCCACCCTCAACCTGGTGGTACCCACCTAGTGCTGAACTCCAGAATTCAGAGATAAGCAGGTCCTCCCTGTTGAGAAAAAATGGTGTGATCCATGGCCATGTTTTTGCAGCTGCCCCAGTACTGACTTGCCTCCCCACCATGGGCTGGATGGAGTGAGGAGAGGGGGAGCCCTGAGACAGAGCCTACCCTCACCCACTGCTGGGAGGGGGACACACAGCAAACAAGCCCAGGGCCGGAGCACAGGCAGCTGGTGCTCAGGGCACGAGAGACAGGTTCCAGGAGGAGGCCTCTGATTCCCAGGAATTTCTAGACAGTGACCCCAATGGGGGCCAGGCCTGAGTCTGTTAGGTTCACTGCTATATCCTTGGTCCACAACAGACTATGGCCCACAGGAAGAGCTCCAGAAACAGTCGTTAAATATGCGGATTTAGCTTTTCTGAGATTCCATCTCCTCATCTCTAAAACAGGGATAAGAATTGGAGGTTACAGGGGATTAAATGAGTTAACACACATAGCACAGTGCTTTGTACATAGTAAGTACTCAGTAAACAGCCTTTATTATAAGTAATCCTAAAGTGAAATAAAGGAAGAGACAAAAACAGTGTTGGGCTTTGTTTATATAAGTCAATTGGTTTACACAAATCCAGGCAAAAACAAAACCAATAGTGAATTAACAGGAACTGGATTTGAACCAAAGGCGCTCTGGTGGTGTAGTGGATAAGGCACTTGACTGCTAACTGGAAGGTCAGTGGTTCAAACCCACCAGCTGCTCTGCAGAAGGAAGATGGGGCGATCTACTTCTATAAAGATTGACAGCCTCAGAAACCCAATGGGGGTCACTATGAGTAGGAAACGACTTGATGGCACTGAGTTTTTTTTTTTGTATTTGAACCAATAAGCTATAAGCCAGACCTGGTGTGCAGAGAGTAGGGCTCAGAGAGTAAAGAGGATGGAAAGAGTTGCCCAGAGCTGCTCCCTGGTCCTCACAGTGGGGACAGGGGAGTCCTGATGTACACGAGTGTGCTCTGTAACACGGGCACATGCGCACACAAGGACAGCACGGAAAGGGCTGGGCCCCCCACTCAGGGCCGTGGGACTCCTCCCCCACCTCAACCTGCCAGGTCTATGGAGTCTGTTTGAGATTCAGGAAGAGCTTTATTCAGAATCTCTCTCACCTAATCTCATAGCCAGGAGCTCTGGTGGCATAGTGCCTAAGGCATTTGACTGTTAACCAGAAGGCTAGACGTTCAAACTCACCAGCCACTCCTCGGAAGGAAGGTTGGGCAATCTACTTCCGTAGTGATGCTGCCTCGGAAACCCAAGGAGGGGTCGCTATGAGTCAGATCCGGCTGCACGGCAGTGAGTTTGGTTTGGTTTGGAATCTCATGGCCAGGAAGCCCACCAAGGCGAGTTTAGCTCAATGCTGCCTCTTTTAAAGGACAAAAAGCCCTTTTTTTTTTTTTAATTTTTATTTTTAATACTTTATTTTTAATATACAAACAATAATTCGAGTATATATATTGTGCTTCTTTAAACAGAATACAATACTTATTCTTTTAGTCATTCATCTCCAGTATTGCTTATGTTTGCATAATGCTTTACAGTCCTCAGCTTTCAATAGCATTTTGGTCATTTGGTCTTCTCAAAGGTTAGATAACTTGGTGACAAAGCAGAAATGGGTCTCACATCAGCTGAGTCCTTGTTTTTTCATTACATGCAGCTTCTTTTTTTTTTTTTTTTTTTTTATTAGGATTTGGGTGAAGATTTACAGAGTAAATTCACTTTTCATACAGCAGTTCACATATACTTTGTCTCATGTCATTGACCAAAATTTGGTCAATGCAGCAGCTCCCCTCCCACTTCCTCCCCATAGTTACCTCCGCCCAGTGTCTATCCCTTCATACTCTTCTGCACCCTGAGCTATCTCCCTGTGCATAAGCAGCCCTTCCTGTTGTCATCCCCATTTCACATATGAGAAAAACTGAGGCATAAAGATTTTGTAACTTGCCCAAGGTTATGCAGCTGTAATCGGAATAAAAAGAGTAACTTCTTTTCTTTTTCTTTTTTTTTTTGCCTCCAAACGATTTTGAGTTTTGTACCACATTGTTCTCTCTCTTTATGTAGGATGTCCTACATCCCTTCCAAGTGGATGGCAGTGGTAGCTGGGCACCATCTAGTTCTTCTGGTCTCATAGTTGTATAGGTTGCAGATCGGATGGTGTACCAGTCGCTAGGACTGATTGTTTCCATTAATTTTGGTTTTCTTCTTTCTTCTTGACGAGGAGAGACCTGTTGTTGCATCTAGATGGCAGCTTCCTAACTTTTAAGGTCCCAGTCGCTACTCGCCAAAGTACAAAAAGCCCTTTTTATAGTCCCTTCCTCTACTTCCACCTTAGAATTACTTATAATAAAGGCTGTTGACTGAATACTTCGTATATCTATGCTAAGTGTGTTAACTAGTTTAATTCCCCCTGTAATTCCCAGGACAAATCCAATTCTTGTCCCTGTTTTAGGGGAAGTCTGCTGCTTTTCCTGCAGGCTCTGCCAACTGGTCAGCAACTTCTTTCTATTCAGCGATAACCTCTGGGTCACTAACGCTTCTTGGCCCTAATTCTACCCTGCCTCTCTGGGGGGTGGGGGAACACAAAATGTGTCTAACTTCCCTCCCTTGTGATGGTCCTTGAGATGTCATGAAGAAGTGCTAACAAAAGCTTTTATGGATGGAGCCTTATAGGACTGCAGATAAAGTTGTTACGTGCCGTGGAGTAGGACCCGACTTATAGCGACCCCTCCTTGGGTTTCTGAGGCAGTATCACTATGGAATTGGATTGCCCAACTTTCCTTCTGAGGGGTGGCTGGTGGATTTGAACCACCAGCCTTCTGGTTAGCAGTCAAGTGCCTTAGGCACTACGCTACCAGAGCTCCTAAAGATAGTAGTCCTAAGTAACAATAGTAATCAGTTGCTGTCTAGTCAACTCGACTCATGGCAACCCCACGCATGTCAGACTAGAACTGTGCCCCATAGGGTTTCATTGGCTGAGTTTTTCGAAAGTAGAATGCCAGGCCTTTCTTCCAAGGGCTCTAGGTAGACTGGCACTTCCAAGCCACTGAGCACATGAACTATCTGCACCCCACCCAAAGACTCCAACTAACTATAGTTGTAGTTGTTGCTAGCTGTCATCAAGTCAGCACAATGTTTGCTCTGTGTTAGACGCTCTTTTAAGTGCTCTGTAAGACACAGAGCAAGGTGAAGGGGAGTAGGGAAGGAAGTTATTGTTGTTGTTAGTTGCCAGAGAGTAGACTCAGACTCATGGCAATACCATATCTGCAGGGTAGAACTGCTCCACGGGGTTTTCAAGGCTGGGACCTTTCAGAATCAGATCGCTAAGCCTGTCCTCCAAGGTGCTTCTGAGTGGGTTTGAACTGCCAGCCTTTCAGCTGGTAGTCAAGCACTTAACTGCCTGCACCATGGAGGGATAAGGGTCTAGAATAATGGAGCTCCTGAAGCAGCTGCTTTGGAGTCACAAACATCTGGGGTTGGTATCTGGTTCCACATCTCCATGCCTCTTTGAGACCCAGTTCTCTACGTCATTGTGTAGCTGCCGTGTTCAAAATTGGTAAAGTGTGAGAGATGCTTCATCTATTGCCAAGCACATAGCAGGTGCTCAATAAACTAATAATGATAAAGATGAACATGGTGATGATGTGCTCATTTGACTTCTCTCATGTTAACAATACCAATAATAATAAAAATTGGCATAATATTAATAGTGAACGTTCCTATGGCACTTGCCACATACCAGGCACTGTTCTACGTGGTTTACATTTAAGTCACTGAAGCCTCATACTGTTTTCATCCCCATTTCACATATGAGAAAAACTGAGGCATAAAGATTTTGTAACTTGCCCAAGGTTATGCAGCTGTAATCGGAATAAAAAGAGTAACAACTTTTATCAATTGATGCAGAAAAGGCATTTGATAAAATCCAACACCCATTTCTGATCAAAACTCTCAGCAAAATAGGAATAGAAGGGACATTCCTCAACATA